GAGCAGGGTTGTAACACTCTTTTTTTTCCAGTCCTCAGGTCACATTTTACTTAAGGTACAGACCAGTCAAGAAGCCCAAAGACTGCATTGAGTGATGTCAACTGCAGAGCTCTTGGCTTCCATCTGTACTTTGAGAGGCACACATTGAGCTGCATCATTCCCATTTCCTCTGCTTTTAGACATTGCAAAAAGTATTTCTCAACAGGACTTAAAAATCAGCCATTTAGATGAAGATAAAGAAGGTGAGCAGAGGAAGAAGACAAAAGGACAAAACACCTTCTAGATTTCAGACTGAAAAGAAAGACCTGATTTAGTCAGTTAGTGTTTTCAGAAGAATTGGACTCTGAATGTAAGAGTTCATGGTTTATGGCAGTAAGGGCCATATGGAAGTTCCCTTTTTGGCTGTTTAGCAAGACTTAATCAATTTTCAAGTACAGCTTAATTTTATTCATTGCCTTAATGTTTTGGGGTTTTTTTTCAGGTTTTAATTTTCTGTCTGACATTAATCTTTCCCTAGTGTTTCATTTTCAGAGGTTTGTTTGTTTGTTTGTTTGTTTTAAGGAAACTTTTTGGTCTGTGTTTTTTTACCTCTTCCAATTACCTTACAGGTAACAATTAAACCACTGCTAAGTAGAATGTTGTCAGGTTTTACATGCTGTACTGGCAATAGAGCATTCCCAAATCCTTCACTGAAGTTTACCTATCTTGAAAGCTATTGGCTTCCACTTAGAACATACTCATAGCACACTACCATAGACTTGTTTTGCACTGACCTTCTGTCTCAATGAAACTGGTTGTTGGAAGAACTTAGACTACCAGTTATGGTAGGACAAGTTCAATTTCTGTGATATTTGTTCAGCTGCTAAAGAGGCAAATAAAAGCCAAATAAATTTGATTTGCACAGGCTGTATATTGCCATCTAACTGACAGACAGCATAGCTCTTCTCTAGAACAACTCACATGATCCATCAACTGTTTTCAAAATACTGCAGCAGGTTACCCCTTCCTAGGAAGAAAGCAAAGTTTCAGGAAAAAAAAGGCTTTCCTGTGGATTTGTGAAAGATACACCATTAATGGTTCACAATGTCCACACAAATAAAAGTGCTCGTACTTCATATTCAATTTTCTTCATGTCCCTAAAGTTTCATACATATAAATAAATATGTAAACATATGTGCATAAACACGTAACCATATATGCATATATGCATTTAGTAAATATATCTATATATGTAAACATAAGTGTATGTGTCTATTTGTATATATTTAAATATATATATTTACATTATCTTCTCTTGTATCCTGTCTTAAGTTCCTTTTCCTCCTTTGGAGTGGTAAGATGAACACCTATGGTATTATAATGACATACAACTCATTAAAAACAAAACCAAAAACTCCTTGCAATTCAAAATACCTACATGTGTAAATTAATCAAGGCAAAAGTTACTTCAAGTTACTCCGGGTCTCAGTATTTCCCATCAATTCTCTGCATTCCCTTCAATGGGAGTCCTTGCACTTTCAGGTTATGAAAGGCCCTATTTTGAAGTATTGATTCTTTTTAAAGCAATCTCATCTTTTCTGGAATGTGAGTTACATGTGTGAAAACAGGGTACATCAGCATACACAGCCATTGCAAAAGAGCAGTGCGTTCTCAGCTAAAGCCAATTTGGCATGTTAGAGGTTACTGAACTGGTAATGGTGTTTCACGATGGTCTCGTGAAAGGAATGACGAAGTTGTTACAAAAGAAAATCTCATGATGTTGTGTGCTATCTTCTCCCAGATGGCTGTGACCAGAAAGGCCTCAAGTGATTATTACTGAACAGTTTGAGCTGACTTGTTCTGGTTTAGAGTTTGTGGAAATAAAGCAAGCCCTGAGGATGGGCATGCAAAGAGAAGATCTCTGGTTTCCTAGTACAGATGGTGAGCCTGCACAGTAACTCAGATCTGTAAGGTTCAGACAGTCCTATACAAATAGGTGAATCCTTTGCCTCAGAAGAACTGAATGCCCTTAAAGAAAAAAACACTTTCAATGAATGCCTATTGAAATTCAAATCTTAATTAATGCCAGCTATGCTTGGGTCCCTTTTAGATTCTTTCTGTGAACATTTAAGCAAGCAATCATTGTTTGTAGAAACCAAAATTTAACTGCACATCTTCCATATTCATATCAGATAAGATATAAGTTTTCTATGGAATGGGAAACTAATTGAAATGGCAAGGCGTAGAAGGGGAAATATTCCAGTAAAATCTTATTGGAGCCCTGCAATAGGAGCAACTGAGCACCCACCAAAAGATAAATTATTCATATGTAATAGGGGAAGCACATATGTAGCCATCCTATGTGACACTGAGGAAAACAGAATACATTATATATGCAAATATGTCCTTTATATTATAAATGTCTGTACCTACATATAATAATAATGGCCAGTCTTCGCGAGCGAAGATTTGGGAAAGGTCATTAACCCTTCGAGCCTGCGCAGTGGATTTTTTAGGTGAGACACAGCGTGCGCTGAACTGAGCCCACCCTTTAATCCTGAGGTTCATCTGCCGGTGCTGAGCAAACTTGGACAGTGGCAGTGAGGGTCTCCGGACGTAGGTTTGTTTAAAGTGACCTTTTCTTAGATGGATTGCCTTACAAGGCTGACGAGCTCCATCTGCCCGGGGGGCTGGGAATCGAACCCGGGTCGCAGTGGTGAGAGTCCTGCACCCTAACCACTAGACCACCAGAGGCCCCACCTACATATAAAGCTGTATAAAAGACATTGTCATAGGTTTACTACTTCTAAAAGACCAAGTGGGAATTTTTTTTTCTTTCCCCTGCATCATTATGAAAGAGGGATGTTGAACGAAGAAGAGGGAGGGTGGTTCTTTTAGCTGAGGTGATTGACACGCACAAAACAACTGGCCACAGTCTGCACTCCAAACTGATGGCCCTCAGAAGACTGGGGGGGGAGGTAATATTTTTTTTCTCCTGGGGAAACGGCAGTCACTTCACTTTTGCCCTGACTCAGGGAGAGGGTGTGTGTGGAGGGATTTTCAGTGTTTTGTTTTGTTTTCAGCCGGGTCATCTGGCTGCTTCAGGCCCTGGTTCACCTCTGTTCTTCTGCACCCTATTTTGCCCATGCCCCAGACCTGCTGGGATTTCATCGGAGAGACTTGACCCATCTGCAAAGAAACCTTTGGGAGAGTCCCTGTTGGAGCCAGCCACTGACAGCGTGAGTCTGTGGGAAGAGCCCCTTTTTCCCCCTTTTCCACTTTCTCCGTAGGGGGGAGATCTCTATTGTCGGCTTCTCCTGCACACTGGGGCCCCCATGTGGCGACTGCCAGTGATCCAATACCTCCCCCTGCTGATCATGGCTAGAATTGCAGCAAAAAGCTGAAAGTGCTGAACGATTTTTTTGGAAGGAACTTTGGGTACAGAATTGTTGTTTAGTTGTTTTTGTGTTCTTCTGTTGTTCTGCCAATACATGTACATCATTTAATAAAGGGCTGTTATCTTTTCTTTCTCCATACTTCCTCAATTGGAGCCTCAATTTTAGATTTACAATTGCTTAGAGGGAGGAGCTTGGTCTTCCTCATAATTCATCCTCCTTAGCAAAACACTTCAGTCCCATTAAACTGAGACAGACATACACATTCTGCAACTCTGCTATTTTAAAGGTGACCTGCAAATATTTCTTTGTTTAGTTTCTGGAGTTTTTCCTACTTGGAAAGAGGATTTCAAAGTGATTGTGGATTATCAAAAGCCTGCTTCAATTAAAACCCAATATTAATAATGAGTTGTACACATACATGACCAAGATAGTCAAGGTGAGCATAGAGGCCTGTAAAGACTTTTAAAATAGTTCCATATGCAATGCACATATGGAATTAGCATCCCCAAAGGCAACTTCATGAACCAGCAAAGTGGTGACTCATTTGAATGCAGAAAATGTCAGAGACACCACAGCTCCAGCCTCATTATTCAAAAGTAAATAAGTCACATGACTGCTTGATATGGTGATGCCTATTTCCTTCTAGACATTCATTAGACATTTGTTCTTATTCTCAAACAAAAATCAGAGAATAATAAAGAAAACCAAAGAATAATAAAGCAGTAAACCATTTTCTTTATTCCTCTTTCTAATGTGGTGCAGAGTATGCAATCTCAGTGTCCTATGTTCTGTGTGACTGTGTCCACCCTCTGGACTGCGCAGTATCTTGTCCTCTTTTCCTCCTGTCTAATAACACAGGCAGCTCTGAGGGTGCCAGCAATGATGAGCTTGTACTTGCAATGATGAGCTTGTACTCAGCCACACAAGCGTAAGGAATAGTCTTGTGCTTTCTACCATTTTTTGCAAAATATCTCTTCTGAAGCAGCTCAAGGGTAGTGTGCTGGATAGGTACTCTATTTTCTACTCATGAGGTACTTCCAAAACCAAGACCTCTTTACCTCATCCAAGCAGATGTGCACATCAAGCTGTGAGGGAGATCCATTTCCTTCTCACTGTTCTATAGAGGAGTGTCACACTGCTGAGAACAGCAGCAATGCTTCAACATAACAGATGACACATCGGTCCTCATGTTACTTTTCCTCAGGCTTTTTGGTACTGGGTAAAGAACGAGGATTGTGCTGGCATTGCAAACTCTTTCTCAAGCAGAAAGAACTCCAATTGTCTCCTTCATTATCATGCAGAAATAAGCAGGAAAGGATGATGATTTGACATGCATATTCTGGTGTTTGAGTCTGTGAGTTTAGGAGCACTTTCATAGCCTGCTAATTCGCGTGGAAGTAGGAAATGCCTGGCACTCCACAGGATGTTGAGCCCTTATTTACACTAATATCAGCTTTTATGATTTAACATAACATTTATGCCTGTGGAATCACAGATGAGCTTTTCAAACATGAAGTTTTTTTACTGCAGAAAAATTACTGTAATTACATCTCACTAAAGCAATACAACATACCTTCTTAGCTATGAAGAAAAAAGCTATAAAGAGAAAAGGTTTATCTATACCTGAAAATGAATCAGACTTGTGAATGCATTCCCTGGTCTCAGTCAAATTCGGAAACATCATGTGTGGGCAGCGTTCATGACTAGGAAAAAGAAAATAAACAGTGTAGATACTAGTCAGCCCTGCCTTTAACCAAGTAAATTGATAGTCTGGGAACTTATTACTCCTAACTGGGATGACCTGAACACAGTCATTAACACTTGAGAAAATACCAGGCATGTATTGATGGAGGGGTATGAACATAATGCTCACAGACCATTGTGATCAGCAATATGTCAGCTTTACTAGAAGAAAGACAGTTTATATAGTGGTCATGACGCTTAGTTCTTGTTCACACTACATTGGATACATAAAGAAAACATACTTTGCTGTCCACTGCTAATTGGATCACAACAGGTGGTCATAGAAGATGAGAAAACTTTATTCACCTGCCAAAACTTCTCCTTGGCATCAGGCATGAATCCACCTTTGTTCTAACTTAGCTCCTGTAGCCATTTTAACTAACTGATCACACCCAAACTGTGCTAAAGCAATACACACGGAAATGTAAGGGAAATTGTTCACACAATTTCAACATACCAACAGGCATGCTGCACCTCCTTACTATTATTGGCTCTTTTATTTAAGCAGTAAAACTGAAATCACTTCCAAACTTTAATAGCAGCTAAAGGAAATATCTAGAGGGTGGGTGTGCTAAGAAGAAAACCATTCTTCCTATTTATTGTAATTTCATATGGAGAAAAACAACTAAGGATTTGAAAGCATATTTGTTGGCAAAAGAATTTGCTAAAGATTGAAAACAGAGTGGGGCTTTTCAGCAAATTCCCTTGCTGATAAATGAACACTAATGCTTAAGCCCTTCTAATGAAGACAAGTTTACCATGGAATAAAGTCGTCAATGATGAGCAGAAAATAGGGCATTTGTAAATACAATGTAATGCAGAATGATAAAGCACATCCAATTTATGCCAAGACGTGCTTGCAGAAGTACGATAAATAATATCTGCATAATCAATGACTGGAAGAAAGACAGACTGAATAAATTGTTTTCTGGCAATTTACAGAACACAAGTCTAGCACAGAAAAAGACAATTTGACATTAGTATTTTAACAAGATTGTTTGACAAACACTAAAACCAGACTTACTAATGATTCAAAGGGGACAGTATTTATAACTGTCTATTTTCATTAGGGATAGAAAATTTGAATTAGGGCAAGAGCAAAACTCTTGTTTTTTAAGGTAAAAGGCAGAATAAACAACATAATAATATACATAAAATCCCACATGCATATATATATACATATATATATATATATGAATATGTGCGTGTGTGTACGTGTTTTTCCCTGTACCCAAGATTCTTTGGTTTAAAAACACACACAGATTGAGAGGGATGGGAGAGAAAGCTAGAGAAAAATATATTTGAGGGTCATCAATAACCACTAATAATGAGATACTATATGTATTAGAATTACCTATAGTAGATATGCATGGCTGGATGTTACACCCACTGGTCTCAATGGGAAAGTTTAAATTGAATTGCATGAACTAGCCTTTAAAGCCTTTAAAGAAATTATGGAACTACGTTAAAACTGAATTGGGAAAGTTGTAAATTATATCACCATTCATTTACAGAGCCATTTACTTTATGATGTTAAATATCTCTATGATGCATGGTTTTAGAAAGCTTCAGTAGCTGTTTCGGATACCAAGAGTACCAAAATGAGCAATAAGCCATTTAATATCCAGATATTGGCTTTGGAGAACCATGTTACTGAACAGAAACAATTACCCTTATGCTTCCATCAACAAAACTAAAAAAAAATTAATGAAAATATATGGGAGCTGACAGTACATAAAACTTTTGCCTGTAAGGATATTCAAATGATTGTTATAATCTGCATAAAACAACTAGATATCCAACTTAAAAAAACATTTAGCAGTTTTTGACCTTCAGTCTATGGAGGACTTTAAAATTCAAATAACCACTAGATTTTCTTTCTGCATAAAACATTCAATGATGTCTTTAGCACTACATGCTCTGTTAGTAAATAAAACACTGCTCTTATTTTGGTGTTGTCTCAGCCCTATTAAAACCTCTTTTCATTTATCTATGAAAAAGGTACAGCCAAGTTCCAGCAGTCTAAAGTTTGTCATTTATTCTATTTATGTGACACAAGCCTAATTTTATCAGCTAAGCAGATGAAAAATGAAAATCAATAGTCAGCAAATTTGATGCTGAGTGGGATGTTTCATCGTGACTGAGAAGAGACTGTGAAATCTGTCTCCTTAAAATTTGCTTCTAACTTTGGGATTTAGCTAGTCGTTTGAACCTATACAGGTGGCAGTATCACTTTTTTGGAGACTCCACATAAAATTTTCATCTATTGCCGTAAAATGGGTATGTTTCAAGTAATCATATCTTGATGAGACACAGTCTAATTAATGGAAATAATTAGTTATTAGAGGTCTAACATCTCCCCAGAGGTTTCACTTCAACCTATAGGTCTTCAGGCACTGGTCAGGCTTCACTGCCTGAGTGCACAGTTAATTCCCAGAGTCTTTACACCTATTTCAGGACATCAAGGCTTCACTGCACAAAGACTTATGTAATAAAAACCTGAAAAGCAGTTGCTGCTCCCTCTTCCAGACCCAGGCAGCAGTCACACACAGAGACAGGGCCTAGGAAAGACCTGAGCACAGACCTCAAAGCAAGTGGAGCAAACCCCCTATGTTAGTTCCCAGAGAGCCTTTTGGAAAGGCTAGAGAGTGTGTGTTGAGGTACTTTGTGTTGAAGAATCTATACCTTACATAAACCATGCATGTGTGAGAAGGTTAAGGACTTTCTACAGGTTGGAGCAGTTCTCTGAAATGGTAGCTTCACCCATTGCTTAGGAAAATGTGCTGCTAGCAATAAACTAAAAATTCACATTCTGAACATAATAGACTGAGGTATAAGACAATATAAGTCACTTTTTGAAACAAAATATCTAGGATAATTTATTTTTGTGCAACTGCTTTGCTGTTTAGGATTCGACTAAGTAATATTGACAGGAAAGAGTTTCACCTTCAATGGGAGCCTTACTGCACTCTCCCAAGTGCTGCATTTCTTGTGCCAACTAATATGGCATCAAGGCTAAGAAAGTCAAATGGCTTCTGCAGAATGAGGTGATCAAACCCTTAAAGAAGCATTGGTAAAAATTTCAGTGTTATTAGCATTGTAAGCACCAAGTATTTGGTGATACTGCAGTGAACCTATACTTCAGGTGGAGGACAAAGGCACATGGATATTTCTGGGTGGAAAAATCCCTTTATAAAACATGAGGTTTTTACAAGAAAAATACTACACCAATTTCCAGCCCTCCAATCCCATCTACTTCCTGCCCACAACAGAGCTATCTGAACAAAATATTAAAAGAAATAGTTCGTTTTGAGGGCCTAACAGAGCCATTTACTCTCCTGGATCTTGAAAGAAAAAGGTGAGAATTAAGTTGTCATTTGCAAATACATATATTTACCAATATTGGTAGATAGGGGTTTTTGTCTAGATGAGGTGCATTTTGTAAATACTAGTAATTTCAAGCTGACAGCAGATTGTACTTAGACTAAAACACATGAGGAATGGAAATAGTTCTGACTCTAGGATGTTCACATATAAAATGCCATGTGTACACGTTTTGCTGATTCCTAGGAGCTTCCTTTTGAACAAATCAGCCATACAATCAATCAGGAGAAGGAAAAGAGGGAAAAAAGTGGGTGTTAGGCATTATATTTTGTGACGTGCTGAAGACAGCATTAGTGTTCTAATCAAGGGTTTTTTTGAAGCTAATAACAAAGCCTAAGAAAAGCAATTAAACATAAGACATGTGAGGAAATAAATGAAAATAAGTGGAGAATCTAAACATTGATTTCCTTTTATGTAATTCTGGTAATGAGTGTTATTTTATCATGTATTTCTCCACTATAAAGATGCATGACCCAATCGTTCACAGCTCTATGCTGCCATAAAGATGACCTGTGAAAACTCATGCAAGGGAATTTTAGAGGCAGCATTTAAAAAAAAAGAAAGAAAATCACTTTATAGCATGAAGTAGCCAGAATAGCACGAGTGTTAAATAATTGGACTTGCTAACATGATTTCTTGACATCATGGTTATCTCCTAGCAGTAACCTGTGAAGTTACTTCCGCAATATAACTTAAAAGAGATATGGTCATCCTAAAATAAAGGGAGCAAAAAATCATGAAATCCACCATCCACCTTTCAGCTGCAACGACTGTAACTGCAATTAGCAGTGGCCATATTTTAGTGTAGTTTTCTAGGTTCTCTCTCCTGTATGGAAAAGCAGTATGGTAAGAAATGCTGAAAGACACCCTTGAATATCTTTCACCTGATCTGCCTTGCGTGTTTCTTACCAGAAGCCAAAGATCTTGGCCATTAAGTTCAAGGGATAAAACCTGCTCAAACTTTAGCATTCCATCTAATGTTAATTTATCATTGAACTACAAAAGCTTTACTATCCTTATTAAAGCCATCTACGTTTATTGCATACTGAAGCTGCAGCAAGGAGATTCTGGGTTGAATACTTCATTTATGTAATTTTTCTTTTTTATTTTAAAAGAAAAATTTTGGAGAAATTTAGTGAGTGCCTTGCTTCAAGAAAGTACCCAAATACTATGAATAGAAAAACATCACTTTAGTGAGCCATTGAAGGAAGTCTGAGGTAAACTTCCATACAGGTTCTGTGTCAGAGCCTAAAATTAAGAAAACATCTTTCATAGTTTGAGAAAAAGCTGTATAAATATTCCTCTCCATACCTTGTCACTGCAGCATATTCTACCATCCTTGCTGTTTTTCACATTGACCTGCTCACAGACGCAGTAACGAACTCATTAGCTACATTTTCATTTACTTCTCATGCCTTAGGAAGTGATAGGTCTGGTCCATTAACACAAGGTTCTTCTCTCTGCTGCAATTTGCATGTGGTTAAGAAAGAAAGGTTTAATGTTAATATTTCAGCTAACAAGATATTACAATTTTAAAAACAATTGTGAAAAAAATAACCTCTGACACATCAAAGCAGGGATGTTTTCCACAAGAGAAGAATCCATAATGCATGTAAAAAACTGAAGAGATGATGGGGATAAAGAGCCTGAAAGATTTTGAAGCATTGCTACTGACTGTAGGAACAAGTATTGTCTGACACGGGGACCAGTCCTATCAGCTATTTGGTTTTTCTCATCTCTAGGCAACTTTTCTTTATATAATATATAATGTATTTCTTTATCATTTTTCTTTATTTTCTAATCCTGAAAAGCAAATCATATGTATAATTTGATTTTTATAAATGAAACAGTACAGAGGAATTTCACTTAGTAATTGTAGACTTTTTAACATGGTAGAAAAAAGCAAGGTCTAGAATGTTTTGGTCATTTGTAAAGCAGAACAACATATATTCTCTGGAAAATGAAAACTGAAAGGGTATATTCCCCCACTTTCAGCAAGAGAGAGAGAATGAGAAAAGGTATTAGGGTAGGTAGAACCCCAAAAGCTACACACAAAACCAACATTTATTTTCAAGAACATTATTTGAGACTAGATATAAGAAAGACTTTTTTTTATGATGAGTGAAACACTGGAACAGGTTGCCCAGTGAGGTGGTGAGTGTCCCCTCCCTGGTAACATTCAAGGGCACGTTAGATGGGGCTTTGAGCAACCTGGTCTAGTGGAAGGTGCCCCTGTCAATGTCAGGAGGGTTGGACTAGATGAGCACTAAAGATCCCTTTCAGTCCAAGCCATTTCATGATTCTACCATTGCCTCACTTTTCTTAATGCATGGACATTTCTCCATAGGCTTAGGTAACTCTACAGGAAGAAGGGGCAAACTTGCAGAAGTTAGCTGAAGAATTCATAGTTATTCCTAAGAATGTTGTATACAGATAGATACTGCATGGCCTTAATAAAGGAATCAGCTCATTTAGCTGTAAAAAATCTCAAAGCAAGACAGAATTTATTAAGCGTAAAACCGTTTTCTTTCTAAACAAGGAGAGGAAATAAAGAGCTCTTTTTCTTTCCTCTAAAAGGCTTTTGAAGTATTTTCCTACTGTTGCAGAGTGTGAAAACTTCTGCACAGAGCATTCCTAAGTGGGGCAGAAATATGACTGAGATTAACTATTTTTGCCTTTTGCAAACAAACTAGTGCAGTGCTCATGCCATCTAGTCACCAGACAGTGTCACTTCTCAATACAGTTTTCTGTTCTTTGTACATGTCGCTCCAACATAGTGGGGCCTGGTAATAAGCACAGCTCCTAGGAGCAACTGCAATACAAATAACAACAAAAGCATATACCTTATTGTACCTATAAGAACCATAACCACATCCAGAGCTTCTCTTTAACTAGTATAGTTTTGCTTGCCTTTTTAAGTGAAGCTATGGCAATTTAAACCGTCTGAGAATTTGACCCATCCTCCTAAGTCCTGCCACTGTAAAATAACTTCTCAAAATTATAGCATCAGAAATTTGATGGTCTGAAAGTACTTCAGCTTTTAATATAATATTTTTTAAATATTAGAAAGGATCTAAGCTTTTAAGAAAAACTAGGTAACAGCCATTTTCTTGTATTATACATTAAATGAATAATACTCCCAGAACGTTAAAAATGCTTTTTTTCTCCCACTTACCCTCCTCAACTTTCTAGTTAGCATAATTCATGGAGAAACAATGGGGGTTTTGAAAAATAATGGTTTGAAAATAGATAAAACAAACTGATAAGGGTCAGCTTGAACACAAAACTTGAGATCGTATTTATGTGATTGGATCCCTACACAGATCGCTTTATAGAGCTGTGACCTCATTGAAAAACAAACATTGGTAGGTTAAGGATCAGAATGGGTGGATATACTCACTGATTTCCCCCAGCCCCTCTCTGGCAGTTTTGTTTCACTGTTGCTCAGGGGGTTCTTGTTTATGTAGCATCTGATCCTTTCCCCTGTCTCCTAATAACCATAACAGATATCACTGATATTATCTCGTACCCTATCTCAATTGTCTTTAGGCTCTGAAACTTTTCATTTCTCATAATGTCATAAGTAAAAATTCAATTTGCCCCATGAATTTCAATGGTAGTTTAAAACACTTTTTTTTCTTTTTTTTCTTTTACTGCTAGGGCTTCCAGGACTTTTACTGTTTGATGTTGAGAAGTATGGACATGTAAAGAAAAGATCAAAGTACACTCCTGGTTAATAAAACTCAGCAAAAGTTACTGCACAAAATGCTGGTAAAATTAGACTTCATCAAAGAATCATGGAGGACTAAGGATCAAGGGGAAACATTAAAAATCACGGTAGAAATGTTTTTTAAAAAGCAGAAGGAGGAAGAAAAGTTTGATTTTAGAAGGACAGGAGGGAAAAATGTTACACCTTATTATCTAATTTCTTATTTTTATTTTCACACTGGTTTACAGATAAAGTGTTGGAAGGCAGATTAGAAATTCCATAGGTTAATAACATCAGTAATGATCAATGAGCATATCCTCTGAGTGAAGGCACGATATTTACATTCGTTGTCATAATACTTCATAGTTAAATTAGTTATAAAATATGGAAAAACTATAGTCTTGTTTTCAAGAACAAAGGCAACAAGAACTTTACAAAAGACAACCTTTAAGTATAAATATCTATTTAAATTTTACCTACTTTTTATTTAGAAAAGAGAAGGAATGACTTTAAAGTAGTCCATTTTTTCCTTTGTAAGGAAGACAGGTTATATATAAGAATGCAGCTCTGTGTTCCATATTACATTACTGGTACTTTTAATAACTCTAGCATTGTCCATACCATCTGTTTCAAACATCAAGCATTCCTGTAACACAGATAATATTGACAAATTGAGAGTCATCATGGCTAGGCTTCGCGAATGAAGATTTGGGGAGGGCTCTACCCACGCTTGTTGCAAGTGTGTTGGTGGCTAAAAAGGCCAATACAAGATAGGCACGTCCAGTTGCAAAAGGCACAGCAGAAAGACTCCTCAGGTCGTATATTCTGCAAGGCACGATTCTTTCTGCATTG